ATTTTGGGATAGAAGGAGGAGGGGGAGGGGGGGGGAAGGTGGACAAAAGGCTTTGATCAGCAATTTCTCAGCGTTTAAGATTTGCAATTTCCAACTCAGAACCGAATGCAAATCTCTCAACTCAAAACTTGAACTCACTTGTGATTGGTCATACACTTTTGTTGCGCAGGTGTGGACATTGCAAGAGCCTTGCGCCAGAGTGGTCCAAGGCCGCTTCTGCGCTTAAGGGCATTGTGCGTGTTGGCGCAGTCAACATGGACGAGCATCAGTCTGTTGGCAGCCCTTACGGCATCACTGGATTCCCCACTATCAAGGTAAGCAGAGCAAAGTTCGACCACGCCAATATGTGGATGAAGCGACGATGGATGGGATTTCAGCTGATCAATGGGCCCTAAACGTTCGACTCACCTGTTCGTCTTGCTTGAACTCGCCAATCCAGCTGTTCGGCGCTGACAAGGCCTCGCCTGTCGACTACAAGAACGCTCGCACCGCGAGTGCCATCACCGATTTTGCTCTCCAGCAAGCCAAGGCAACTGTGACTGCCCGCCTAGGCGGCAAGTCGTCCTCGTCGTCGTCCTCGTCGTCCTCTGGCTCCGGCAGCGCTGGTGGCAAGCAGGCCGTCGTCGAGCTGACCGATGCCAACTTTGCCGAACTTGTCCTCAACAGCCAGGATGTCTGGCTCGTCGAGTTCTTTGCTCCATGGTGCGGTCACTGCAAGAACCTTGCGCCCATCTGGGAAGCTGCCGCCAAGAAGCTCGACGGCAAGGTCAAGGTCGGTGCGTTGGATGCCACGGTGCACTCCTCCACTGCTGGACGCTACAACATCAAGGGCTACCCCACGATCAAGGTCTTTGGCGCCGACAAAGCCAACCCTTCCGACTACCAAGGCGGTCGTTCCGAGAACGACATTGTTCAAGCTGCCCTCGAGCGCCTCGAGGAGATGGCACCGCCACCGGAAGTCCACCAGCTTGTCTCCCAGGCTGTTTGGGACAAGGAGTGCGCCAGCAAGCAGCTTTGCGTTGTCGCCTTCCTCCCCGATATTCTCGACTCTGGCGCTACTGGCCGCAACAACTACATTGCCACCATTCAAGCGAGCGCTGACAAGCACAAGTCTCGCAGCTGGGGCTACGTCTGGGCGGAATCGAACGCACAGAGTGCACTCGAGCAGGCCGTCAACGTCGGTGGCTCTGGCTACCCCGCCCTTGTTGCCATTTCGCCCAAGAAGAACCGCTACGCGCAACTCATTGGCGCGCTCAATGAGAAGAACCTGTCCAGCTTCCTCACTCGCCTGCAAAACAGCAAGGAGAGCACCGCCGCATTGACTCTCCCTGCAATTGCAACTGGTGCCCGTTGGGATGGCAAGGACGGTGTTCCGCCCTCTGAAGAGCTCTAAAGAACATGATGAGCATGGCCAAAACAATTTTTGGTTAGTTTTGCGAGCAGCGTTTTCTGGCTTTGAAAATGCGTGATTTCGTTTCGTTTTTGTATCCTCATAAACGGTATTTTTGGTTCACTGGGTCACAACTTTGCTTGATGTGTGGATTGTATTTGTTTGCAAATTCACCCAACACAAAAGAAAAAAAAGACTTATTCAAAGAAAGCTAAAACAAATCGGGACTCAAAGATCAAAGATCGAAAACAACAAAAACAAAAAAACGAAGAAAAGAAAAAAACAAGAAACTGTTTAACTGGCCTCTGGCACACTCTTGAGGGCGGATGGTCGCCCCTTTTCAAACGAATTGCGCAATGATTGCAAATCCGACTCCATCGTTTTGATGAGCGAGTCGGTGCGGGTGCGCGAAACGTTCAAGTTGTGCTCGAGGTTGTCCAGCAACGACGCACGACGCTGCACGGCATACTGTTGTAGCGCGATCGGGTTGAGCGTCATCTGTTGGTAGTGCCCCAAAAGTAACGCACAACATACACATCATCAGGAACGTCGCGGATGAGCAAAAAAAAAAAACATATTAAATTCGACATAGAAGACGCGAGCTTGTTGGAATGAGCTGACTTACCCCGGATTCGTCAGTAGGCTCAGCAGGTTCAGCAGGTAGCGTGTCGGTGCTATCTACGGAGTGCGTTCTTTCGATAGCTCGATCGCTTGAGGTGGAAACCTGAGCAGCAGACGAAGACGAAGGTGCGTGGACGTACGGATCCGTTCCGCCAAGGTCCACCTGCAAATTTTCCTTGCCAAATTCAGACACCAGGAAGGCCTTCCATTTGGCTTCTTTTCGCGAAAGAATGCAAAACTACCAAACAACACACACAGACATGCGTGAGCCTTCTCCTCCTTTCAAAAAGCATCAACAACAAGTCATATCTCAGTCGGCAAATCGCACCCTGTCCTGGTCCATCTTGCTCAAGAACGTCTTGACAATCTTGTAACCAATCCGGAATGTGGCGTCGGCATTTAGCACATAAATGCG